GAGATGGGTCAGTGGTTAAGAGCACTGGCTGCTCTTGTAGAGGACCTAGGTTCTGTTCCTAGCACTCACATGGTGGCTGACAACCATCCATAACTCCAGTTCCAGGGGATCCAACGCCCTCTTCTGACCTCTGTGGGCAGTGCACGATGACATGGATGCACTTACACACATGCAGGCAATACACTCATATACATAAAATAAAAATAATAAAAATAAAATATTTGAAAGAAATAAATGAAATAACGGACAAAACAGCATTTAAAAGAAGGACATAATCATTGTTAAAGGACTTTAATCCTGCTTTATTCAGAAGAGGATTTCAGGTATTAAACTTTAAAAATGGATGATAATCACCAGTCTTAGTGGTACATATTTGCAATCCCAGCACTTGGGCGGCAGGAGGAGTACTAGTTCAAGGCTAATGTGGGCTACACAGAGACTTTGTCTTAAAAGCAAACAAACAAAACAAAAAAAATAATTTTAAATGCATCATAACATTTAACATTGACTAAAAGGAACCGAAATAAAGGGTTGTAAAATATAGAAAGGGGTCAAATGGAAGTGAAGTAAGGGGCACACCTTGCTCCAAATTCAGTAATTAGAAGAAATAAAAGCAAAGAAAGAAAATGCAGGACGGACAGAAAGAATATGCCATATGTGCACACAGGAACTTTGGGAAGGTGGCAGCAGCAGCGGTTGCAGTTTTCAGTCTACAAATCATCACACAGACACATAGAGCAACAGGCTATAGATACATCACAAGGTCGCAAAAATGAACAATAACAATGAGATTAAACCCATAAAAGAAGATAAACTTTCACCTAAAATTTTAAAATGTAAGCAATTCATATAATTATAGCCAACTTATAATAGGTTTTAACCATAGTACATTATGCTCTAACTACTTGCAAATGAAGAAAGGAAACTCACTCAGCTCTGTGATAAGTCTAAGATTCTGCTGTCGGATATTTTCAAACTCCTGCTGCTTTTTCCGCATGTGTTCTTCAGTTACTGCACAGCGATCACACAGTCCTGCTCGCAGCCTGTGAAACAAGAACAAAAGGCTTTCCATCTCCTCAAGCATTTTTCCTTTTACAAGACGAGGATTCCTTTTTCACATGTTTGAGGAGAGTATTTTAGATTTTAGTTTCTTGGCTTTCAGAATATTTGCAGATCCCTAATCTAAAAGTCTAAAAATTGAAATGATTCCAAATCAACATGTTGGGAGTACTGACATGACATTGAAAATTTTAGGGATTTCAGAGCATTTTTAATTTTTAAATTTTGAGTTAGAGATAACCTAATGACTATGCATCTGTATTTTAAGAGTTTTATATTTATGAAGACCTAAAGAACTGATTTTGCAATTACGGTGAAAAATCAACCAGTTTCCTAACCCTTTAGTATGTTCTTAGCTAAATGTGAACCCTGCTACAGCATCACTTCCTGTGCACTGAGATTCTGAGTAAAGGGTTGTGAACATCTATCACTTTTAAAGTTTATCCAAGGATTTTTTTCTTCTTTTAATCTTTTAAAAATTTCATTTGTATTTATAATTATTATCATTATCATCATCATCATCATTATTATTATTTATTTGGGGGCCGGGAGTTTGAGACAGGGTCTCCCTATAGACCCAGCAGGCCTAGAACTCACTATGTAGACTCGGTCTCACAGAGATCTGCCTGCCTCTGCCTCCCCAGTGCTGGGATTAATGGCATGCACTACTGTGCCCCCCCCACACACAAAAAATACTATTACAATTTTTTTTCACAAAATGTTACCTTTTAAAGTTCTCAACAAAATATCAATTTTTATATTCTTTTAAAGATTGCTCTAGGGGACTGGAGAGATGGCTCAGTGGTTAAGAGTACATGTTACTCTTGCAGAGGACTGAAGTTCAGCTCCTGGCATCCACATTAGACAGTTCACAACCGCCAGTGACTTCAGCTCCAGGGAATCTGACACCCTCTTCTGGCCTCTACTGATACCCATACATGTGCATACAGGTACATATAAATGAAAGTAAAAAATGAATCTTAAGTTTTTAAAAGATTTTTAAAAGTTTGCTCTAGATACTACTATTTTTATGTATGACAAAGAACTAAAATGAAGTTAAAAAATTTGGGGGGGTTTACTTATTTTTATTTTATGTGTATGAATGTTTTGCCTGCATGTATGTAAGTGTACCCATTTGTGCAATGCCCATGGAGGTCAGAAGAGGGTGTCAGATGCCCTGGAACTGGAATTAGGGATAGTTGTTAGCTGCCACATTGGTTCTGGGAACTGAACCTCAAGTAAGGCAAAACCTTACTAAAAGTATATTTAAAGGTAGTATTTGGTAGTAACTTAAAAAAAAAAAAAATCTTCCAAGAAAAAAGGCTACGTAATAGGCAATGTTGAAGACTTAATACTTCAGAATATCAGTTCTGGTAATTTTAAGTCCAGCATAAATAGTCTGAGATAATCATTAAAAGTTTAATTAGTTAACATGACATAAAGACATCATACAAAACAATAGAAACTATTGATACTAAGGGAGGTTTCAGATTTAATCTAATTATGTGTTGACTATGTGACAGTTTCTCCACTCTTTGCTGTTTTCTTACATGTAAAATGAATCTATCACCTATCTTACAGTGTTCATTTGAACACTGACTGTTAGATGCCTGAGTCTAAAGTGAATATTCAATGTATGTAAGCTCTCATGTTAAAGAGATCAACGAGGCAGGGCACCATAGCACACACCTGAAATCTTGGCACCAGGAGGTTGAGGCAGGAAGAATATGAGTTTGAAGCTGGCCTGGAATATGTAGCCCTGTCTCAAAGAAAAAGAAAGGGGGCTGGAGAGATGGCTCAGTGGGTAAGAGCATTCACTCCAAGCATCCACATGGCAGCTAACAACTGTTCATTCTGTAACTCCAGTTTCAGGAGATCCTTTTCCCTTTTTTGGCCTCTGAAGGCATTGCATGACATGGGTGCACTTACATACATGCAGGCAAAACACATAAAATAAACTTTTTTAAAGAGAGAGAGAGAGAGAGAGAGAGAGAGAGAGAGAGAGAGAGAGAAAGTCAAGGAGGAAAGAAAGGAAGTCAAGAGTACATTTAAATGAAAGACCTCAACAAACAGGACCCACATGAAATTTATGACTACAATGATCAGAGGCAGAACAGATTATTAGGAAAACGAGTCTAGTGCTAAAGAAAGAAATTAGAGAATAAGTAAACACCTTAACTGAACAATAATAATAATAAATAAATATATATGTATATAAAACATTCATGGGAGGGGTGATATTCATCCATAGAAAGGGTGTAGGGAAGGAAAACTCACTTAAGAAGGAAATACAGGACCCAAAGTATAACCAAACTCAACTATAGAGTGAAACTTCTTTTGAAGACACTGGGCAGGGGGATCTTCAGAGGCTAAGCACATGAGGAAGAAATGGAGAGCCGACTGTACTAGGCCAGGTCAAGTGAAACAAAGAAAACCTTATTTTGAAATTTATCTCTAAATAGTAACTTTGGGTCCTAGCAACTTGCTAATGACCAACTACACAGGAAAGGTACTGGAAATCAATATAATCAGGTTTTCTTTAGTTTTTTTTTTTTTTTTTAAGGCAACAGATCACATTATAGCCCAAGTTGGCCTGGAAATCATGATGCAGCAAGGCTGGCCTCCAACACACAGCAATACTCCTGCTTCAGGCTGGGCAGCAAGCACCTTGACTTGCTAAACCATCTCACTATTTCAAAATAATCTAATATTCTGTGAGTCTAAAGTGAAGTTGTGTGTCATCTATAACTGTCGGCTTTGTGGGTGCCCATTGACCGGAACAGGCAATATTTTGTGGAACAACTATGTGCTTTGGATCACATATATGTGTTTAGATTCAAATTTCATTAACTGTATTTTTAATTCAGATTCAGTAACAGATATTTCAGTCCCTATTATATCCAGGTGTTGGCTCTAGGGGCTTGGGACAATAGACTACCTTATCTCATGGACCTTTTATTTGTCAGCTGACATTTGTTGCTGAATCTGACTACCTAAATTTAATCCCTGGGATCCACATGGCAGAAGGAGAGAACCAGCTGCTACAAGTTGTTCTCTGACCTCCAAACGCACATTGTGGCATGAACACATGCACACAAAATTGTTTAAACAAATAAAGTGTAATAAAATATTACTTTACTACTAAAGAAAAAATTCAGTTAGTCTTTTTGTAACATACATGAAAATGGAAAGCACCAAATTCTGGAAGCCTTTTCTAATTCTGGGTGTTAGTCTCCTTGGAGTGGGAAAGAAAAGGTCTATGTATGGATATAAAGTAAGTGGTTCTGTTATCTCAGAAATATTCAGAAAGACAAAACTCTAAATTGGTGGCAAGTGGACAAATGTGTAGAGAAGAAAGTGGAATAAGAGAAAAAGGCAGAAATGTAATACATCAGTTTCCAGCCACTTGGAACTAAAAAGGAATGAGAGCATTAAACTATTAGACCATTACAACCTCTAAGATCCTATTATATAAAAAGCTAAAGATACCATTTTAAGGTTAAACAATATGATTGTTAGTCATGGTGGCACACGCCTTTGATCCCAGCACTCAGGAGGCAGAGGCAGGTGGATCTCTGTGAGTTCAAGGCTAGCCTGGTCTACATCTCTGTGAGTTCAAGGCTGGCCTGGTCTACACAGTGAGTTCCAGGCCCGCTGGAGGTGCAGGGAGACCTTGTCTCAAAAAAACCAAAAACAAAAAAACAAAACAACAAACCCTGTATGACTGCTATCATTAATGGAGGAAAAACAAAACCAAAAAAAAAACCAACCTGGGAGAATATACCCTCAGTGTCAGAAAAGACTTATTCAAAGGCGACAGAAGGTTGAGGAGAAAATTCATTCAGTCTCAGAACTGATTAAAATGAAAGCCATGGACTCCCTGTTAAGGAGGAAATGTTTTTACTCAAGTACCAAACTTACCGATCTTCTAAAACTTTAATGGTTTCCTGTAGGACTTTCTGCTGCTCTCTCAGCTGCTGATTTTTGGTGAAGAATTCTTCTAGTCTTTGTGCATCTCTAAAGTTAAAAAACAAATAAAAATTTAATGAAAAAATAAGAGTTCTTGTATCAGAACTACAAAGTTTAGCCTCAAAGACAAAACACTGGGCTGGAGAGATGGTTTAGTCATTAAAGTTCTTGCCATGTATGTACAAGGTCCTGAGTTCAGATACCCAGCACCCATGTAAAGAGCAGGGCATGGCTATGTGGATCTATAACCCCAGCACTGGGAAGGCAGAAACAGGAAAGTCTCTGGGGTCTGCTCAGCCAGCCTAGCCAAATCAGTGAGCTCCAGGTTCACTGAGACCCTTTCTGTAAAAATAAGGTAGAAAGCAGATGAAGACACCCAACAGTGACCTTTGACCTCAGCATATACAAGGCTGCACATACATATGCATCTGTACACACACATACACACAAAACTTCAAAAAATGAGGTTTGAAGGTCTTGTTAAACAGTGCAAATTATACTAGAACATACTCTGAAATATTTCTGTGTGCTAAATAAGTGTTATCCTAAGTATCAGGCATTTGTGACTCACACAGAGGAAGAAGTGGATTTGGATGTTAGCACTAAGCCAATTTTGCCAAATTGCCTATCAATATGTACATTTACTGATTTATTATTTTCTTAACATTCATTAATGTAAGTAACAGATATTTTGACTCCCATGATCTCTAGTCAAATTATGGGTGATACTCCCTTTGTGAAAGGAATCAAAAACATGAAAACGGACCTGCAGAATTGAACAGTAATTTTTCCTTTGTAATTTAAAAAACTCCTTAATTAGAAATAACTTAAAAGATTTGTTGGTGAGCAGTTTATTTCTCAGCTAGAATGAAAATTTTCTTAACAAGTAAGCTAGATGGCTGATCAGGGTAGATACCATGCTTATTATTTTTTCCTTAGTAAAATAAAGTCATTGTTTTTTCATTAAATAATGGATGATAAACAAGATTATCAGATTGATTAATTACCCATTATGACAATTATTTCTTTTATAAGTAGTAGATATAAGGCACACAAACACAAGTTCCTGGCCCCAGTATGCCAAAACCTAACTTACTTTGGGGAAGGTAAAATGAACCATAGCCCTAATTTTCTGGTTACTGAGGGAATGTGGTTTCTCATTTGTGCTTCTGAACCATTATCACCCATTCTACCAGAGGTCAACAGACCTTAAAGCTGCAAAGAGAACCAAATGACTGAACCACACAATGAAGTAACACTACAACTCCTCAATGGCTAACAGTCGCATTCTCATTCTTTAATATTCATAAGTATTATAGGTGATTCTTGAGAAAGTAATATTTAATATTAATTAACAAATTTAAGGAGTTTCTTCATGTGGCTAGCCACAGGTATGAAGTGATACTTTTGCATAAAATATCTACTTAAAGAAAGTATATTTATAAAAGCAAATCTAGGGGTTGGAGGGATGGCTCAGTGGTTAAGAGCACTGGTGGCTCTTGCAGAGGACCTGGGTTCAATTCCCAGTACCAACATGGCTGCTAACAACCATCTGTAACTCCAGTTCTAGGGGAATTCAACGCTCTCCTCTGACTCTGTGGGCACTGCACAACATGAATGTACTTACATATATGCAGGCAATACACATATACATAAAATAAATAAATAAATGAATAAATAAATAAATAAATGTTTTTTAAGGCAGATCTAGATTGTTTCTAAGACTAATCTGCAAGGAAATTATTTTGAGTCAAAATAAAATAAAATAAATATTACTTGACTATGACTAGAAATAATCAGATACATACAGATTAGAGACATATGCACCAACATCTCAGTGTCAGTAGCAAAAACAATGAGTCTTTCTGTAAGAAACAGTATTTTTAAAATGAAATGGAGATCTTTCTTAAAGGTTAAAAACTCATTCAATTTTATGTCTTACAGGGTTTATACTGAGTTCAATATTGTATAACTGTATTAATTCAACAGTGAACCTAAAAATTTTATAGCCACTTTTGAAAGAGATGTATCTTTGTTCTGGAAACTGTTATTGAGTATGTTAAAGCTGTAATGAAATGCTTCTTCTAAACAATAAAATAAAATATAATAAAACAATACATAAAATTGGAAACGCCTTTAAAAAACGGTATTTTAGAAAATATTACTAGGTCTGGATCTGGAGAGATGACTGGCTCAGCACTTAAGAGCAGTGGGAGCACATGCAGAGGATCAGGGTTTGATTCCCAGAACCCACATGGAGGGTAATAACCATCTGTAATTCCAGTTCCTGGGGATCTGACACCTTCCTTTGACCTCCACAGGCAATGCATGACACGGGTGCACTTACATACATGCAGGCAATACACTCAATACACATAAAATAAAATAAAATAAAATAAAATAATTTAAAGAAAGAAAGTATTACTAGGTCTACATGAAGGATTCATTTTAATAAAGAAAGTCTTTAAAAACATATGAAAGTAGTTTAAAATGTATAATCAAATAGTAAACAGAATGACTTCTGAGGTTTAGTACTGCTTCTTAAAAGTAACCAACATCTTGACTCTTAAAGTTAGCATTATAATCAATAGTTAGTTGTTAATTCAGGATTTATACCATCAGTAACTTTAATACTGAACCAAGGCACAATACACAGATTTCACTGTCTAATGACTCATCAACTCTGAAACACCAAACCTTCAGTATTAGAAAAAGTCAAGGGGAACAAGAAGTCCAGTACAGCATTGTTATACAAGGGAGACTTGGAGTGACTCCAATATACAGTCATCTAGCTACTTCATTTGGTTTATCTTAAACCACCATAGGATTATCATCATCAGTATCATTATCACTGATAATACCATATTCTGATTAACAACAGTTATAAAGAGCATTACTAGCTGGCCTATAGCAGAAAAGAAGAAGAAGAAAATAACAGAATGAGAGAGTATTTCGTAATTTTAAAACTAAGTCACTCAAATGTTTTTTACCAATGAAGAAAAGTCTGTTTATTTGTAAGTAAAACAAAGATATTTCTATTACATTTCAAGAGAACAGAAAAACAAATTTTACTTATTAGGTAAATAATTATCCTATTTTTTTTGCCTCATCCAAATTAAGCAATTTCACCACTTAATTTTGGAGTAATTTATGCCATAGGGAGAATGTATAAAGATTTTTTTTTCCTGAAATCACATAGCTAATTCTGGCATATATAAACATAAGGTAATACCATTAGTATTAACGTATATTAGAAGGCTGGACAGTTTATGAAATTCTGATACCTAGAAACAAAATTTGTGCCATGTAAGAAATATCATGCTCTAAGAACTGTACCAGCTATGACTCCACTCACTCTGAATTAGTAACAGACTGTAGCAACATTTTTGGTTGCTTACTCAATAGTTATTTTTCAAGTTTATTTCTTGCTGAGATTAATTTTCATTTCTTTACTATCTAGTAGCTTCTTTTCTAATGTTTCACTTTGGAAATAATTTCAGACTTAAAGTAAGTTATAAATATACAACAATTATAAACAATCATCATAATAAAAAATAATACAGAGTACCACACCTGGTCATAGGCAGACATTGTGAATGGCCCAAGCCTAAGAGGCATATCTACAATGTAACTTCTATACCTAAGGCTCACAGAACATAGAACAAGGGGCAAAGATGTTACTAATGAATCTCTCAACTCTCATTAATGAAGCTCCCTCAAGCAACAGAGGATCAGGAACACAAAAGGTTACAAATGGCCAAAGCATAGAGATTAAGAGTCTGCAGAATGCTAGGCCTTGGACAGGACTCCTATATTAAACTATACTCACCCAGGGTTCAGGGACCATTGCAGAAGAGCGGGAAGAAAGATTGCAAGAGCCAGGGAGGAAGTGCATGACCATATAGAAATAAGAGTCCTATAAGCTCCTGGGACTCTTCTCATCTGAACCTACAGCAATGATGTCAGTATACATAAGTTCCATGAAACTCAAGCAGACAAAAACCCAGACTAGAACTGGGGAGATGGACAGCAGACTCCAATCTTAGCTGAAGAAATATTGGCAACTGATTACTGCTGGGTGAGGAAGAGTTGATCTTCCTAAAGCAAGGGACTCTAGATAGGCTGACTAGACCTCAGTAGATGAACTTGCACAGAGGAACATCTGGGGATACTAACTTGACACAATGGATCTGAAGACAAATGACAAAATGTATGAATTCCAGTGGAGGGGGGCACTATGGGAATTGTGCCAGTGGGGAAGGGCATATAAAGATGAATTAAGATTGATTGATTTTGTATATGAAATACACAAAAATTCAATTTAAAAAATTAAAAAAAATCATTTCTCTAGTCCAGGATCCTACATTGTATTTAATTGTCATGTCTCCTCCAATTTGGAAAAGTCTATCCATTCTTCCTTTCACAATATGGACCTAACGGCAAAGTACCTGATGTTCCCCATCATAAAATTGCAGTTTTCCTAAGAATGTGAGAGAATCAGTACTGTGTCCTTCTGATTGCACTACATCACGAACTATACGAGGTAAATAAATCTCAATACTAGTGATGTTAACTTTGATCATCTGATTGTGAAGTTGGCTAGGTTTCTCAGTTGTAATGTTACATTTTTCTCATTGTAGTTAGTATCTTGTGGGGAGCTACATAGAGGAATTTATGCAATTTACAAATAGATTCTTTCTGTACTGCTATCCACTTACTTATCTCCATTGATGGTTACTGCCTTTAGTAATTATTGCTGGGAAGCTTTCCAAATAGTGATTTTTCTATCTCCATCATTCTTGCTACATTTATTAACTGGAACTCTACTAAGGAAGGGTCATCATTCTGTGAGAGGTATAATTAATCACTAGCATTATTTCTTTGCCTAAGTTGTCTTCTAATATCTCTTTATTTTGCTAATGCTAGTTTTTCCAAGTTCTATTATCTTTTTAATCTTTTATGTAAAAGGGTCTTACATAGCTAAGGCTGACCCAAACTTACCATGTCACCAAGGATGACCTTGGACTTCTGATCCAACGGCCTCCACTTCTCATGTGCTGGTGGTATTAGAGACATGTATCATCATGCCTGGTTCTATTTGGTGCTAGGGATCAAATCCAGGGCAAATATTCTACCAACTGAATTATATCTCCAGGCCTCTATTATCTGTTAACACCTTTTTGAGTATGTATTTATTTTGTAGCCCCATAAAATGTTCCTGTTCATCTGGTATCCTACAAGCCTAGAATGGCTATTAACATTTCTTTAAATATCATCAACTACAGGAAAACATTCGTTAGAAATCAAGACATGAGATAGATACCGATGTGCTCATGATTACTGAAGTGTTTGTAAGGCCTTCTCAAAACACCTAAGCCTAGAACATACATATATGTCCTCATGTACATTAATAGAAATCCCTATCAGCTTTTCTATTTGTCTAAGTATTAGAAACCATGAGTGCCTGTTGATAATCCCAAATCCCTATCAAGCAGCACAGATTTCATTCTTGCTTCCTCCTTTCTGAATTGATAACCCCTTTCTCCTAAAAATGAGAATCCTAGCACTCAGTATCAAAAATGTATGTATTTTTTGCTCCGTTCTGCAATATAAAGTAGTATTGAATCTATTAATCTGAACCAACTGTGCTAATTCAATTCCTTTGTAGCTATTTACAAATGATCACAAAATTATAGTCAATAAGTTAGAGCAAGTCCACTGACGTCTGTTCTGAAAAACGTTGGTAAGTAATAAAATGGGATGCAAGGAAATTCTCCAAATGATTATTACAATCATACGGCCATCTTGCCAACTTGTCAATTCTAAGAGGGAAAGTAAAACACAATGGTAGAGAAGAAAGAAATAATATGAGTCTTTAATGAATTTTGAGTCACTAATTAAGTAGTACTAAAATGTCTCTTTTAGGGGCCCTTTATGTAAAACAATATTTTTTCCTTACTATAATAGTAATTTTTGATTGATTGTTTGCATGTGTGTTTTACACAGTAAGAAAATGTCTACCTAATGAGGGAATGTATCCTAAATTTCTATTCTGAAAAAATCCACTTACTTCCTCTATAAATAAACATCTCTCAATTGTGGGAATTAAATACAATTTTATTACAGAAACTGAAAATGGCTTCTTTTATGGTTATGGAAATTTTAAATGACATCCTTAAAAAGAAACATCTACAGTTTCAACCATGTAAAATATTTAAAATTGTTACTGAGTAAATAATTGTTATTTTTATATAAAACATTTAAAGTTATTTTAATTTTTATTTCTAAATATAATCTCTGCTATCAAATATGACTTTTTAGGTATGAAGGAAAGGTTTTAATTTTTATTTAAATAGGTGGTAGTAATCCTAGCTTTCAAAAGTACAGTCTGGAAGTGTCTTAGTCTGTTTCTTCATTGCTGTGACAAAATACTCTGACCAGTACCAACTTGGGGAGGAAAGGGTTTATTTGTCTTACATCTCCCAGGTG